ATCTTAATTGGCAAAATGTCATTATTATATTTTTAATGATGAAATTGAACATTTAGTGTGAATTACTATATTTTTCGAACCAAAATTTTAGTTTAAAATACTAAACTTTTCTTACACAAAACTATTTTGTTCGTAAAGAATATTTATTTGCTACATTTTCAAAATTTTGTCATTAAATGTATTTTTAAAAAAAAACTTTTCGGGATATTGTTTTAGTGACAATTAATATTTTTGGATAAATTATAAATACACCTCCTTAGATTTGATTAAAATATAAATCGTCTACTATGATGCTGGAAATTGAATTCCACCCCTGCGATTTTTAATTTCATAACAAATCACTTCTTTTATTAATAAAACATCAAGTCAATTAATAGTTTTTAATGATATTAGAAATATATTTTAATTAATTAATTAAGTAATTTTATTATTGTATATGAGAGCAATTATGAATTTCATTTTTTAGTTAATTCTGTTAAATAAAAAATTCTGACAAAGGGGTATTTATAATTTTTTAAATCACAGGGGGCAATTTGTACTTTAAACAAACTTCAGGAGATGTATTTATTTTCTACCCATATTTTTTATAGCAAAATTTTAACTTTTGAAGATAAAAAAATTTGATTCCCAAAATTCTTATGGTTTGTATGTTTGTTTTTTCAGTTATAGAATTGACTCTTTACAGTTTTTGTAAACAGGGAACTATGAATTTTTTATTTTATTTTTATTTATTTATTTATTTTTTGGAGCAATCACTTGCCAGAGATATGTTCAAAAATAAATTACAAAATTATGAAAAATATATATTTTACATATTAATGCTTATAATGAATACCACTAATTTAAAATTATTTTTTGATTTCTGAGTATCATAAACATACTTGCAATATACACAATTTACATGCATATAGGATATTTGGCTATAATTTCCCATTAGAAAAAAGAAAAAGAAAAAAAGAAGCCACACGTCATGAATAATGACTAAAAGTTGGTCCCCTTTTATTTTATTTTTTTACTTTTTGGGTTTCAAATCTTTTATTTATTTATTTTTGTTAGATATTTTATCCTTTGAAAAGGTTCTAAGGTAATTAATTTCCATTTCAACCAACATTCTTGCTTTAAACGTTATCAAAATAAAATAAAGTATAAGAATCAAATTTCATTTTGATTGTGATTCACATTATATTCCCATGCGTTTTATTTTTTAGTAACTTTTCAAGTCACCTTTTTCTTTTGGCCTTTCTTAGGATAAAGATGTTGCAAAAAACAAAGCTGATATTAGCTTCTTCTTTTTTTTTTTTTTTTTTTATCGGGGAAAGTTTTGTATAAAAGTTGATGTTGAAAGGATTTAACTTTTTTGCTTTTTTTTTTTTTTTTTGGTATTCAATGATTTTTTAAATTTAAAAAAAAAAATCATTTTAGACTTGAAATATATATAAAAAAAATAATGTAAGATTTCATTAAAGACAAAAAAAGAAAAGAAAAAACTCTGAAATAAATGTATTTGTTTTAGCCATTGCCAAATATGGATGACTTATTATATTTTTTTCCCCCACAGTTGTTAGCTAAAAATCATAACTAAACAACTTTTTATTTTTATTTTTATTTTTATAACTAAAATAGTCAAAGAGTGACTCTAAAAAAAAACATTGGCAAATTTCCCTTTACACCCTTGTGGTTTGATCTATGTGCAGATTACTCCTCTTTTATTTGAAAATTACCACATAGCCCCCCTTATAATTTATAAGCTGAAGTGTACCGTTAGACCCGTTACGATTTAATGAAAAAAACTAAAATACTTATAACAACGAAACTTAATTAACCACATTAAAAATTTTTGATATACTAATATTTTGAGTTAATTATTTAAAAATCCTATTTACAAATATTATGGTAACTCATGTCATATTTAAGATTTTTTGAACAAATAAGTCATATTTAGTAAAATCGAGAATATTATCAGTTTTTCCTAAATTTTAAAACTAAGACCATTATCAATTTTGCAAGTAATGTTCTAGATAATTGTTTCACTAACTAATGAAAAAAAAAAATAGAGCATGAGATTAATGTTTTTGCCCTTCTACTTATTAGTTTGATTCAATGATCCAATAAAATCGAGAACATTAATATTTTGTTTTCCAGTTTTATAATTGAGAACATTATCAGTTTTGAGCATTGATAGAGACCCCCTCCAATCACCACCCCCACCACCCTCACACACGCGTGGCGGGTGGTGATTGGAGGCGAAGGAAAAGAAAAAAAATTAGAAAAGAAAAACTGGCCAATGAAAGGGAAATGGGGTTAAAGGGGGTGGGAGAGAAAGGGTGTCTCAAACATTTTTGATCAGTTTTTTCATTTTTAATTTTTTTTTTCAATTTTGCACATCAGTGTTCCATCATCATGCTCCTTTATAGACACAAAATTTTCAGTTTTGCACAAAAAATAATTCAGTTTTTTTCAATTAAATTTTTTTTTTTCACACAATTTTTATTTTTTTAAAATATTTTCAATTCAAAAGTTGATATTTTAAAGTTTTTGAAAATCAAAATAAATGTCAAATTATCATGTTAATTTATAAATAATCATAAATGATGAACAATAATTGTTTCAAGAGCAATTCCTACTATTAAAAATTTAATGAGATTTGAAGGTTTAAAAAATCTTAATTAGAATTTAATAGAGTATAAATTCATAAATTAGGACTTGTGTATAAATATCCCACTAATATTTTTAACCACGAAAAAATTAATCCTTCATTAAACTTATACTAATGATTGGTAACAAAAACTAAAAGATCATTAATTAATGAAGAAACACCACTACAAGAAAATGGGGCTTAAAAGACGGAACTATTTGCGACGGTACACTTGCCGTCGCAAAAAGGTAAAAAATACCGTCTCAAAAAACAGAGTATTTGCGACGGTAAAAAATGCCGTCTCAAAAAACAGAGTAATTCTAATTTTTTAAAAATCGTAGATAATGGATTGATCCTGATTTTACTCTAATCCGGACCAATTCAAAACATGCTCACCCCTAGATGGAGGACAATGCCATCTCTCACTCTCTCTATCAAGAATGGAGGACTGAGGAAATTGGGCACTAGAGGGCACCCTAGCTTTCTCTCTCTTCCAACTTTCAAGCAATGCTATAACTTGGGGACAGTGGGAGTGACATGTTTATGTAGAGAGTGTGTGAGAGCTAGGTAGGGATTCTATTATATTCTGTCTTTGGAACAAGAGTGATAGATTACAGTAATATACATACTTGGTGAAAGAAAGATTACTGTAATATGGTGTGATATGAAATCAATGAACCCAAACTGCTTACAAAACTTCGATCAGCAATTCCTCTATTGCTACCAAGCTGCCACATGGCATCACACCCACTGCAACCAATTGCCCTTACATGATATGATGTACACATCACCACACATTATTACACCATTCACTTTGACTATTTATATGTGACTTTTAAAAAAAGAAAAATGATTTTTAAATTTATTTTTTAGACCCAATCATTTATAAGTGTTAGGTTTGTTTAATGATTAGAAAAAGTAGAAGAGAGATTATTGTGTCAGATATCTTAATTGATTGTCACGACTTGAAAAGTGAGTTTAATTTTTAAATTTAAATAGCAATACTTTTAAAAAAATCTGGTCATCACGTACGGAATCAAGATTTCGACTTCAAAGATGTCAAAATTTTGAATAAAAATATTCATTTACTTTATTGAAAAATAAAGTAGGATTTTTTTTTTTTCTTTTTTCCTTTTTTAAACCAAGATTTTAAGTACTGACGTTCTTTTTTATTTTTTAAACTTTATGTACTGACCAATTTGCATTTCTATATTTTGAAAAAGAAATTAAAAACATACAAAATCTGGAAGAAAAAAAATACAAGATTTCTATCAAAGAGATACAACCCTAAGATCATAAATTGAACAAAATATTAAATGTAACAAACATGAATAGTGAGAAGCATTAAGCCAATGTAATGATAATGAGATAGTAAATAATTTTTTATATACAATTATAGTCATTATAACATAATTAATTCCCCATAATATATATTTGGGAAAGAAGAACAAAAGTAAAATGAGAAGATATACAACAAAAGGTATATAAAAACGACATGACTCACTACAACAAATTACACTTTTGGCGACTAAATTTTTAGTTGCCAAAAGTCATATTTTAGTCGCCAAAAAGTTTTGCCGACTAAACTTTTTGGTCGCTAGCTTTGTCGCTAGATGATTGTCGGAAAAGTATTGGCGACTAAAAATTATTTAGTTGCTGAAAGTCTTCAATTGGCTACTAATATTTTAGTCACCAAAAGTTTTCAATTGGTGACTAAAAATTATTTAGTCATTGAAAGTATTCAATTGGCGACTATTTTTTTAGTCACTAAAAGTTCATAATAAATTTAACAATATATTTTCAGCGACTAAAATTTTTTGTCGCCAAAAAATTAACCATTTAGGGCGACCAAACGTTTAGTCGCTAATTTTCTTTTTCATTCATCCTATTTCTTTTAGCTACTAAAGGGTTTAGTCACCTAAAGTCTAGTTTTTTATTTAGCTACTAAAGTTTTAGTCGCCAAAAGTGTTTTTTCTTTTTTTTACCCCCCCTTTTTTTTTGGCTACTAAATCATTAGTTGCCTAACATCTTTTGTTTATGGCTACTACATATTTTGTCGTCAAAAGATTTGTTTCCATTTAAATCTTTTTTTAGTTACTAACTATTTAGTCGCTAAAAATATTTATTCTATTTTTTGCTACCAATTGTTTAGTAGCCAAAAACATCATTTTATGTTTTTTTTTTAAAAATTAATTTTTTCACAACCTGTATGTATCTCATGCAACCTATAGTAGGTATACAAACAAAATAATACATATATATATTATCACCCATTCCACAATATGCATCTATTTCACTTACAACCATCCAAACAAAAGAATAACTTTTAATGTCAACATTACATACAAACCATGTATATTCCAACTTAACATAATAATTTCATACAAAACCAATAATGATACAAGCTACCGGTGACATTCATACACCAGCTATATATAAAATCAAAAGACTTGAAAAATTCACTAGAATAAATCAACCTCAACAAGAGCAATCATAGTTGCAGCCATCATTATAAAAGCATCCGTAGCATTTACAATGGGAGTCCTCCATTGCCATGGATATGGAAACCTTATCCTGCATGTTGAGAAGTAACAGAATCCCTTATAACAAGTGAAGCATAAAACTAAAGTTGGCAGGAGAAAATCATTTGCAGTGCTTAAATAATGTCCATGTCCCCCAAGAGCATGATATGAAACAGATAATTTATCTTTTGATGTTAGAATTATGCATGAGTCTACCTTGACCAAATGCAGAATGAAGAAAAATGGTGTAAGTTAAATAAAGGGACACTTACCAATCAATCGTATTAGTCCCAAAAGTAGAACATATTGGCAATTAGTCCTAAAAGTAGGACCTATTGGTAAGTTACCATTAAATAAATTAGAAAGTCAGAAATCAAGAATATTGTGCTTCAAATTCCAAAATTTAAGACTAGCTTAAGGTGTCGTAGTACTAAAAGAAGAAGGAGAAGTACAGAGAAATAAAGAGAGAGCACTTTTCGGGATGAAATGCTAGTTTCGACAATTATCATATTCATAACATAACTTTACTAACAAGTTAATTTTCAACCAAATCTTATTTGATCATAACAGAAGTAGATACACAGAGAGTGAACAACACAGCCAATGCCCCTAGTAAGGCTTTTCTACCCTATATTAGTATTGGTACCATCACTCCTGCTCCAATTGTTTCCCTTATTTTTTTTTCCAATTAGGAGAAACTTAGATGCATGGAGGAAAAAATAAACGACAAACAAAACATTTTAATAAACCACACGCAACAACAAAAACACATAAAAAGAAGGAAATTATTCAGTTTTATTCCTTTACACATTTGGTTACTGCAGCAAAGACAGATTAGTACAAAATTAATCATACATGAAATTTTGTTAATACCACTTTACAGGCCTTATTAACACTGAAGAGAGTTTATTATTTTTTTGAAAAACACAAGTCTTGAAGTTACTAAATGTTAGATTCCTGGTGCCCACGTTGCAAAACAACTTGACATGAAATCCATCAACACATGCCTAGATATCCTTGATTCGTAGAACTGAATGAGCATTTTAAGTTTTTAGTATCCAAGCAAAATCAACTAGAATAACTGAAAATACTTCATAGCATACACTTACCATGCCATAACTTATTGTCAAACTGGGTTTTAGGAACGAAAATACTAAACTGAAAAGTAGAAACAAAATCAAAATTCAATCTAATGTACCATTAAGAGTAATGGCAATGCATCAAGAGCAGTTTTAAGAAGAATAATGCTTCTAATCAAAAATCAACCTAATGCACCTATAAGAATAATATTCATTATTTTGTAAAAAATGCACATGTAGAGTGCATGACCTTCCCAACTACTACTTACAGAACACTAGAGTGGATGGAATGCAGTATACAAAGATGCAGCATGTCCACTTTATGTGCTGATCTTTTATGAATTTGTGATGTGAAACTACTGGGGATATATTGATTCTTCTTCTGTTTAGTTTATTTTTTAAATGATGTGAATTGTCTTTCTCTTCCTAGATACATTCTTCATGGAATTACATAATATGTTCCCTTCCTTGTTAATATAACTGCAATGTCGTACTTGCTGTGGACAATCTTGAATTGTTCAACCGGATTGCAGAAACATTTTGTTCCCAGGCAGCTACAAAATTGGTCATACTACTTTGGAAGGAGAAATCAAGCCTGATTAGCAAAGTGCTGGAGGGATTGTCTGTTTACAATTACAAGGAGATCATAGATTTGGGATGTGAGAGTCGTATGCCTTTGCTTGAGTCTCATGATGCTAGTAAGTTAATCTACAGCAAGCTTAATAAATTAAAATTTCCTTTTGCTATAGAACACTTCCTTGTGTTATTACTTGTGAACTCTTTTATTTTCTAATAATTTCTTTTAATTTTTATAAAGGCAAAATAATGGAGGGATGAATTTAGTTATAGTTTAATTTGTATTAATTGAATGCATATGAAGGTTTATTTAGTGAAATATAATATTTTTACATTTCTTTCAGAGACAATTGTTTGGATGTTTATATCTGCAAACTTATTTTTTACTGGCTATATTAAATTATGTAATTTAATTTCAGGGCAGCACTATACTTATGAAGCCATCAGCTCTGATGATGTTGCCACACTTGTATACACTAGTGGAACTATTGGCAATCCAAAAGGTGTTATGCTTACACATAAGAATCTGTTGCACCAGGTCTGAGTGTTTTCTACTTTTTAAAAGTTCTCTTAACATATTTGCTTGAGGTTTGTCTTCTGATGTAAATCTCTAACTTATTTAAGAAAATTGAAGGCTGGAGTTTCTGGTGTTTTTTTTTTTCAAGTGGATATTTGAATTTCTGAACTTTTTCCTGCAATATTCATCCAGATGGGAAATGATGTTTTTGCCTTTATCATTGTGCCGCCCATTTGTATGGTGTACTATGTTATCTATGGGGTAGCATATTTGACCCGAAATGCAAATTTTTGTATTCTCCTACTCATGGTATTTTTACCGAAATTTCAATTTGTATTCATTTCCCATTACTTCCAGCAACCAAACGAATCAAACTGAAATGTTATGGAATAAGACACAAATAATTATTAAAGAAAGAAAATTAGAGGGTTTTTAAAACCAAACCCGGTCAAAAGAACTTCAGCAGCATCCTTTTGTCAATCGTACACCACCCTCCTTTTTTTTTTTCTCAAACGCAATTCAACTCTTTTGCCCTTGGTAGGGAAAAGAAGGAGAAATAGAAAATCGAGATAGATATACAGGTCAACCAACGAAAAAAAATTAATTAATAGTAGTAGTGAATAAAAATTTGAGACAAATTGATTGATTGAATAGCAAAGTAGAACAGCGAAGTGAGAGTGACATTTGGTATCACTATGATGCAGCGAACCTCAAATAATTCAGACATTCCAAGCTATGCTAGCAAAAAATATTTAGAAAGGTGTAAGGAAAATGCAGCAATCATCCTTTTGTCAATCGTACACCACCCCCCCTTTTTTTTTTCTCAAACGCAATTCAACTCTTTTGCCCTTGGTAGGGAAAAGAAGGAGAAATAGAAAATCGAGATAGATATACAGGTCAACCAACGAAAAAAAATTAATTAATAGTAGTAGTGAATAAAAATTTGAGACAAATTGATTGATTGAATAGCAAAGTAGAACAGCGAAGTGAGAGTGACATTTGGTATCACTATGATGCAGCGAACCTCAAATAATTCAGACATTCCAAGCTATGCTAGCAAAAAATATTTAGAAAGGTGTAAGGAAAATGCAGCAATTGAGTTGTAATACATGAACAAAATAAACAAATAAAACAAAAAACCTAGAGTCCACAGACTAACATTGCCGCCAGCCAAACTTGCAAGAATAGCAAAACCATTACTCTTGCAAGTCTGAAGGTTAAAAGCCTAACAAATTTCACAAGAATTATGAATCCCTCAATTTAGAGGCCTCTAGAGGCTCCAAAAATGACGTAAAGGGCTTTCAATATGTATAGGGCAATCCCTAATTGAAATTGCCCTAATTGATTAGTAGGGTACTGTCACGCCCCAAACTCGCCCCTAGAAGTTTGGCAACGAGACCGGCCAGTGATCCTAGATTACCACAGGCCTTGCTATACAAAACATAAATAAAAGGGGCTCGCGGAAGCGAAAACAATAACCACTAATAATCCAAAGAGCTGTGCATTTATATGAACATACATTACATGCCAAAAATGTTAATTTACCCACTACATTACATCACATATAATCAAAATTCATTTACAAAACATAGGCTAACGCATATGCACAACAACAAACTAAGCTTCCTAACGGCCTTCCTAGGCCTAGCCCAACTCGGAGGCACCAAAACAACCGGGTAGGCTTCAAAACGGCGGCTCGGCCTCAGACTCCGCCTAGGCTTGACTTCCAGAATGCTCACTTATAATACATAATTACAAACAATGAGCTAGAGCTCAGCAAGTAACATAACAGTAAAGAGGTTAGTGAACGAAGTCCGACATTTTCATAATCCACAATAAATCAATCATAAACATATATCAGTCATCAATCATCATAAGAACATACGTAATGGCATAACTCCACAGAACCTTTCATAACAGTCTATCAGTCAACGTCTACGAGATCTCGTAACTAGTCAAGGCTTGTCCTTCATGCCGTTCCCTATGACTCATGACGCATGGGCCTGGCATGTTCCGCGCCCCCATGACCAACTATCTATGGATGCCATACTAGATTCGCAAATCAGAACATTCATTCACGGAAAACATTCTCATTTCAAAGCATAGCATAACGTAATACATTTAAAACATAGTTCATAATAACATATCTTTACAGAAATGTTACTCACAGAGGGTTTCCGAAACCGAATGCACGGCTTTCAAATCTTGACCTGCAAATATCAAACATATCACACATTTCTCAATACACGTTATCGTTAAATCCTGTAATTCATGCACTTCATTCTTGAATCCATGGAGGTTACTTCCTCAAATATGAACAAATATAACCATAAATCATCTATTCATGCCATGCATGCTCAAATTAAACATATTTCCCCTTTCAATCCTCTTATTTAACACGAGATCATTGATGTATCAACCTTATTTCAGGAATTAGAGAGGATCCTTACCTTAATCACTAATTGTAGAAGATTTAGCTTGACTCTCTCTTCCTTCCTCTTCTTTCCCTTTCTCACGAATTCTCTCTCTCTCTCTCCTTTCCAGATTTTTTTTCTCTTTTTGTTTTTGAGTCAAAAGAGTCAATAAAGGCCCTTATACTTATCTAATATATCATTTATAAACATTGTGCCAAACTTTGAGCCAAACTTTGAGCCAAACATGGCCTAACGAATTAGACGAAATTCAGTTCTCAATTTATTTTCCCAAATGGCTCTAAAAATTCCCGGTATCACATAGGCGTGCTCAATTTCGTTTTCTGAACCCATTACGAGTCATCAATTTCAGTCCGAAGTCGAATCTCAACAGGTATTTTCTAAGTTCAACAGATAATCTTCAATTAAATCAATACTAACCACATATTAATTTACTGGTAATCATCGATACGGTTCTGGGTCGTTACATCTTCCCAACTTAAAGTTTGGTCCTCCAAACTTAGCTCATGTCTGATAATATATTCAAATCAGAAATTTCGGTTGTAACGTGATAATTCTTTCCGTCAGAAATGTTCAATATAAAAGTAGTCATATAGACATATCATTCCTTAATAAGTAATACAAAGGTATAATTATTCCGTCGATGGTCATATGTTATATTTCCATCGCATAGGTAATAGTGTTAACTTCATAATCGACAATTAAGTCATACCTGTCCTTGCTTTTCCAGTATTTTTGCGTCTTATCTGCCACTAGGGTAAAAACTCTTGCTTGCCTCAACGTATTCCCCTCGGGAGTAGCTGTTGCGGTCGTCCTTGGTGTCACTGTTGAGTTAGCTCCACTAGTCACGGGTCTCTCATTCGTGGATACACTTGTGGACAAGTCTTGGCTATGTGTCCTTGTTGTCCCACATTTTGTAACGAATCCAGTTCTCGGCGGCAAATGCCCCCATGCTGCTTCCCACATTCCCTAACAAATAGGTTTACCTACACTCCCACATTTCCCTTGTTGTATTATCATTAAAGCTTGAGTTCAAATTGTCATTCACGGAGGCACTGATTCACTAACCGCTTCATCTTCTGTTTTCTTGAATTTCTTACTTTCTGGTTCAGGGTGTAGTTATAGACTTGGACATTTTTCAGAATAGCACTATTGTTTCAGCCATCAAGGCTCTGTCAAGTACATCAACATATTTTTCTAATTTCAATACATTTACCCGGTCAAGTACCATCAACATGTAACCACCCTCAAATTTCCTTGCTTTCTTGTATCGGTATCAACCATATGAGGAGCATAACGAGCTAATTCGGTAAACTTACTTTCATCACCCGCTACTGACTATTGTACCTTGTTTCAACTGCTCAAATCGGATACTTTTCTATCTCGCATGCATTGTGGAAAATACTTTTCATAAAACATTCCTTTGAATCGATCTCATGTCAGTCCCTGTTCATATCTCGAATGAGCATCCACCATCTTCTCGCTTCTTCTTCAAAGTGAATGTGGCTAATAGAATTATATGTATCATTACATGGAAACACTTCAAAAATTTCTCATCTCAAGTACCCATGCCTCTTTGTAATGGCTCAATACCTCCTGCAAATTCTGGCGGTTTCAATTTCTTTGTATTTTGTGTCATGTAATGATGTCATCATAATTGATCGGTTCCACTTGAACAGGTGGTGGAGGAGGTGGTGGAAAAGGTTGTCTTTGTTGTGGTTGTTGGTTTTGTTCTAGCTGTTGTCTAACCAATCCAGTCAGGTGTGCTTCAACCATTCTTTCTAACCGAGTCTTCTAGCATCAGAAGGTCCTGTCTCATCTGCATTCCTTGCATTGGCATCTTCATTGGTCTATGAACCCATAGAAAATACCATATCTCATTTTCACAAACATTTCTTCTGTTGCCTCATCATACAATTCTCGTTTCTTTCTCTTTCAAATACACACACACATTGCAACATGTATGCCATGCTCTATTCTTTTCTTATTGACACCTACAGCTCTGATGGACACGTGTGTGGGTAAATTACTCGTGCGCTCTGATACACTCTTGTCACGCCCCAAACTCGCCCCTAGAAGTTTTTGGCAACGAGAACGGCCAGTAATCCTAGATTAACCACGGCCTTGCTATACAACAACAATAAATAAAAGGGGCTCACGGAAGGCGCAAAACAAATAACCACTAATAGTCCAAAGAGTGTGCATTTAATATGAACATACATTACATGGCCAAAAATTGTTAATTTACCCACTACATTACATCACATTAATCAAAATTCATGTACAAAACATAGGCTCACCGCCATATGCACATCCAAACTAAGCTTCCTAACTGCCTTCCTAGGCCTTAGCCCCACTCGGAGGCACCCAAACACCGTGTAGGCTCAAAAATGGCCGGCTCGGCTCGGACTCCGCCTAGGCGTTACTTCCAGAATGGCTCACCTATAATACATAATTACAAACAATGAGGCTAAGAGCTCAGCAAGTAACATAACAGTAAAGAGGTTAAGTGAACGAAGTCCGACTATTTCATAAATTCCCAAAATCAATCAATAAAATATATCACTCATCAGTCATCATAAGAAATACGTAACGGCATACTCCACAGAACCTTTCTAACAGTCTATCAGCGTCACAGTCTACGAGATCTGTTAACTAGTCATGGGCTTGTCCTTTCGTCGTTCCCGATGACTCGATGACCATGTGGGCTTGCATGTTCCCGCCCCCATGACCCAACTATCTTATGGATGCCAACCTAGATTCGCAAAAAATCAGACATTCATTTCACGGGAAAACATTCTCATTTCAAAGCATAGGCATAACGTAATCATTTAAAACATATGTTCATAATAACATCATCTTTACGAAATGTTTACTCCACAGAGGGTTGTTCGAACCGAATGCAGCGGTCTTCTAAATGCTTGACTGCAATATCAACATATCACACATTTCTCAATACACGTTATCGTTTAAATCCTGTTAATTCATGCCTTCATTCTTGAATCCAATCGGAAGGTTCCTTCCTCAAAATATGACAGAATATAACCATCAATCATCTAATTCATGCATCGCATAGCTCAAATTAAACATATTTCCCCTTTTCAATCCTCTTATTTAACACGAGATCATTGATGTATCAAACCTTATTTCAGGAAATTAGAGAGGAATCCTTACCTTAATCACTTAATTGGTGAACAGAAGATTTATGCTTGATCTCTCTTTTCCTCCTCTTCCTTTCCTCTTTCTCACTGAATTCTCTCTCTCTCCTTTCCCAAATTTTTTTCTTCTCTTTTGTTTTTTGAGTCAAAGAGTATTAAAATGGCCCTTCATACTTTTATCTATAAAAATCTTATAAAGCAATTGTGGCCAAACTTTGAGCCAAACATGGCCTAACGAATCAGACGAAATTCAGTTCTCATATTATTTTCCCATAATGGCTCTAAAAAATTCCCGGTATACATAGGCGTGCTCAATTTCGTTTTCTGAAACCCATTTACGGTCATCAATTTCAGTCCTGAAGTCGTATTTCATACAGGTAATTTTCTAAGTCCACAGATAATCTTCAATTAATCAATACTAAACACATAATTAATTACTCTGGTTAATCATCCGTATACGGTTTTGGGTCGTTACAGGTTATGTAGCATATTTCAGTAAGTGTAACCTAGATAACGAAGGAGCAACTGAAAAA